CTTATTCTTTTTTTATTTAATTTTCGTAAATGAATGCAAAGTTGAAAAGGGAACATGTACGTTCTATATTTGGGGTTACTTCTGTGTGACTGGAAACCCCAAACAGCAGCACCCTGATGGCACGGTAGCGACCGTGTCTTTAACGAAATGGGAACGCGGTGTGAACGCAGTGTGACCTGAAACGTCCCAAATACCCCAATTCGGCCCAACCCATTTTTGCAATTTATACGGATTTGCTACCGCAGTGTGAGTGTGCCCTTACTGTGGAGAAGCCTAACTCTGTCGAAACCTCCTGGCTGCATCTATCTCTCGTGAGTGGAATTCACGTTCCTTAGGAGGGGAGGTAAAAGCTCTGTTGCCTGCATTTTTCTGCCAAATTTTCCATCTTGTGCTCAATTAATTCTCTCAGTGTTCATTTGCAACTTTGGATCCATCCTTACGCTCCCCAAGTGGGGAGGCGAAGCTCTGTCGGAAGTTATTACTCTCTGGATCGACTCTTACGCTCCCCAAGTGGGAAAGCAAAGCTCTGTCGGAAACTATTGCTGAAACTTGGATCTTGTGCTTGGTCCAGTCTCTCAACCTTTGATCTGCTCGTACGCTCCCCAAGTGGGGAGGCAAAACTCTGTCGGTATTTTTTTCCTTCGATGCACATTCTGCTGGAATCTCGACCTTGAAACTCTCTCAGCTTCTTTTGCAATTTTTAATCATTCCAACACTCCCCAAGTGGGGAGGCGAAGCTCTATCTGATTTTTTTTACCACTTTCAATACGAAAAGGTCCCTGCATTCGCCACTCCTGAACAGACTCCACATTCCCCAAGAGGGGAGGGGAAACTCTGCACTAGAATCTTGAAACTGTGCTCGGTCAAATCTCTCATGTTTTCACTTGAAACGGTTTTTGTTTTCTTTTTTTTTTTGCTGGTTCTTTTTTTTAAGGAGGGTGAAGGTCATCGGAGGGTACTCCCCCATAATTTTTATTTTTATTTTCTTCTACGATTTTTTTTTAAATTAAAAAGAAAAACAATTCACAGAACCAGCCAAAATAAGCATTTTTGTTTGTTATTTTGTAGGTTATTTCGATTTTTTTAATTTTTTTTTATGTCATCGCGATGTGGGGCTTGTGGCGACGATAGTGGGGTGACCCCACGTTTTCATGGTTTGGCCGGTCACCGTGAACGGCCGTTCACGGGCGCCCGGGCATACGACCGGCCGGTCACGTTCACATGACCGGTGCCGGTCACATTCACGGTGCGAGGCAGAGTCAGGCATGGCGGCCTGAGCTAGAGCAGCCATAGCTGCTTTGTGTTGTCCTTTGCACAGCAGGGCGATGCCCTGGTACTCCGCCATAACCTCGGCCTTGGAGGAAGAGGAAGAAGGGTGGCCATGGCTATGGTGGACCTCATCTGATACCTGCAGTAGAAGAGGGATTCGGACATTGATTCTGGTTCAGCCATTCAACATTATTTTTACTATTTCTTGTTTGAATAAAAGGGGAGCCTCAGGAAATAAGGAGGAGGAGAGTGTTGGCGAAGAAGAAGGGAGTTATCATTGGTCTATGCTGGTGTACATCATCTTCTTCTTCTTTCTTCTTCATCTTCTTCTTTCCCTCTCTCTCCTCTCAAGTTCATTCATTTCTTTTTGCAATTGGACGGCATTGTACTCTCTCATGAATGTGTACTTCGAAATTGGCCAGGATCATAACATTGGTATCAGAGCGGATTCTACTTGCTGGTGAGAGTTGACTTATCCACCCTAACCCTAACCTAAGTGGTTAGGGCTGACCGCTTAGGGTTAGGGCTGGTCCGAAGTGGGAAGTGGGGAAGCGTGGATTGCGGAAGCTGCCCCCACCTGGTTAGGTCGTGTTGGGTCAACAGTAGACCTGACCAGGTTGATTGAGAGTGAGCTTGTGGTGGCGAGACACATCAAGAAGACTTCATGCGACAGTTTGAGAGAGGTGACAGTGAGAGGCACTCGCACCTGGAATCTGAACTGAGGGAGACACTTGGTTGACGCGTGTGCCTCTGCATCCATGCCAAGTACAGCCCTCCGGCCAATTCCCATCTCTCTCTCTCTCTCTCTCTCTCTCTCTCTCTCTCTCTCTCTCTCTCTCTCTTCCCACCCTCACCTAGTTG